CCTCCAGGTAACCTCCAGGTAACCTAGTTCCTGCTAGCGTCTGTATGTTTATACCGACAAGGTGGAGTAAACGAGACTTAGATGAGATAGATACCTTTAACGATACGTTTTGCTCATACGGTGGGTTTATCAGGTTAAGTAAACCCCAGAGTGGGCGAAACGTTGGTGATGAGGATATCCACCTAATCAAAAAGATACTTCATGCTGAACAAAAGCAGAACTAGGAAACCCCCCTCCTCCCTCCCTCAGGATTTATTCCGGATCTTTCTATTTGATATGAACGTGCTACCACTGGGGAGGAGAGGGGAAAACGGGAGAAAAGTTGGCAGGGGATGACGGAGTGACGTAGAGAGGCAGGGAATGAGGACGGGAGGGGGGGGGTGTTGGAAGAGGCTGAGGTGGTGAGAGCCAGTGGAGGAGTCAGGGAAGGCAGTGGAGGAGTCAGGGTAGAGATGGGACTGACTGATCGAGGACTCCAAGCGATAATGTCAGACTTGTCAGTGAGAGGGAATAGGAAGTGACAGGCGAGCCGCAGGAGGGAATGTAGATAGATAGAGAGAGAGAGAGAGAGAGAGAGAGAGAGAGAGAGAGAGAGAGAGAGAGAGAGAGAGAGAGAGAGAGAGAGAGAGAGGCCAATATTGTCAAAATACCACACTTGGATCCACTTCGAGGACAGCGTGAAACAAGCTTTTATGCCACAAGACGGGCAGAAAGCAGCAACTTCACTCTGGCTGTACCCTTCTCCAGAACATCACTCCATCTGAGATCATACATACCCAGGATGACTCGAGTATGGAACACATTCGTACAGGATAATGATGTCAACGAGATAAAGTCAGTTGATCAAATGAAAATGCTGGCCCACAGATGGCTCCAACTTCATCCTGTCCCGTACTTGTATGTCTCATAACAATAAAAATGCTTTCAAATGAGCTGATGTAGGTAACAGCTCTTAGCTTGCCAATAAAGTTAGGAATCCTTAACCTGTAATATAGCTGTCAATAAAGCTAGGGATTTTTAACCTTGTCAAACCCTGTGTAAAAAAAAAAAAAGAGAGAGAGAGAGAGAGAGAGAGAGAGAGAGAGAGAGAGAGAGAGAGAGAGAGGAGTGTGAGTGGAGAAATGCACTTGAGGTGACCATGATAGTGTATAGTGTCAGTGTGACAGGGTGTGTTGTGAACACTTCGCCTTTAGTAATTTGTATATTCATCCCACACCTTATATACTCTCCCACACCTTATATACTCTCCCACACCTTATATGTACTCTCCCCCGCCTTGTATATATTCTCCCACATCTATACTCCTCTCCCACAGATGCTGTGTTCTTACTGGCGTTGTTGCCCACACTGGCATGTCCACATCGGCGTTCTGTTCCACATAACTCGACATTTCATTCTTTTTCACGTGTCAACCCATCTCTTTTCTCACAGCTCTTTTTCCCCCAGCTCTTTCCTCCCCCAGCTCTTTCTTCCCCCAGCTCTTTCCCCACAGTCCTTTTCCCCCACACAACTTTTTCCCCACACCTATTTACCGTCTTCCCATCAATTGGTTTACATGGCTCTGGTCCAGAAAGCACTGAGGAAAACGAAATGGAGATTGAATGTGAACTGGGCGGGAGGGAGGGAGTGAACCGGATGAATGGGGGTCTCTAACTCACTGGTACAGCTTTCTGCTTACAACCGAAGGACCCGGGTTCGATCCCTGGTCGGGGTGGAGGCGTTGGGCATGTTTCCTTACATTTGTTGCCCCCTTTTCATCTAGCTGTGAGTAGGTACCTGGGTGTTAGTTGACAGTTGTGGGTCGCATCCTGGAGAGAGGACTTCCAAGGAAATAAGCCACACTGCTTGGCTTTCTCGGGTAATCCTGAGTTACTAGCCATTAGGGTTAATAATCTTGGGTCATCCTGGGTTACTTTTCACTGATACAAAGAAGCCACCTGTTGCTTGGAGTCTACCTGGAAGGTGTTCCGGGGGTCAACGCTCCCACGGCCCCCGTCTTTGGCCAGGCCTTCCGGTGGATCAGGGCCTGATTAATCAGGCTGTTACTGCTGGTCGCACTCAATCTAACATAACCACAGCCCGGCTAATCGGACACTGACTTTAGGTATCTATCCAATTCCCTCTTGAAGATAACCAGGGGTCTTTTGGGAGTTTCTCTTATATATGATGAAAGCCTATTGAACAGTCTTGGGCCCAGGACACTTTTCGTGTTTTCTCTTAGTGTACTCATAGCGCCTTGCTTTTAATTGGGAGTATGTTGCACTGTCTACTTTTCTTTTGCTTTTGTACAGAGTGATTTGTGTGCAGATTTGGGACCAGTCCCTCTAGGATTTTCCAGGTGTACATGACGTATCTTTTTCGCCCACATTCCAGAGAGTACAGGACAAGGGGTTTCAAACGTTCCCAGATTACAAAGTTCATGGACCAGCACAACCCGAACAGCATGGTTTTAGAGCAGGACGATCATGCCTGTCACAGCTGCTGAACCATTATGACAGAATTACGGAGGCGTTGGAAGATGACCAAAACGCAGATATGATTTACACAGATTTTGCAAAGGCGTTTGACAAATTCGATCGTGAAGTGACAGCGCACAAAATGAAGGCCATGGACATTGCGGGGAAGGTAGGCAGATGGATTTTCGGGTTCCTAACACACACAACACAAAAAGTAGTAGTGAATAGGGCAAAATCTAGCATCAGCGAGGTCAAAAGCTCAGTGCCCCAAGGCACTGTCCTGGCACCTCTGCTGTTTCTCATCCTCATAGCAGACAGATAAAAACACCCGGCACACTTTTGTATCATTTGCAGATGACACTAAAATAAGCATGAAAGTCACTATGGTAGAGGACACTGAAAAAGTACAGGAAGACATAAACAGGGTTTTCCAGTGGGCAGTGGAGAACAACATGACGTTCAATGGTGATAAGTTCCAGCTGCTTACGCATGGAAAGAATGAAGAACTCAAAAGGAGCACTATATACAAAACTCAAGAGGGTCACCAAATAGAAAGTAAGGAACACATAAAAGACCTAGGAATAATTATGTCAGCGCACCTTTCCTCTAAGACCATAACAAGACAAAGATCACGACAGCCAGGAAGATGACGGGGTGGGTATTGAGAACTTTCAAAACAAGGGAAATAATGCTGAAGGTGACACCCTTCAAATTCGCTAGTGCTCCCTCACTTAGAATATTACTCAGTGCTGACGACCCCGTTTATAGCAGGAGAAATATCAGAGATCGTTTACGGTTCACATTGAGCCAGTAAAACACCTAAATTACTGGGAACGCCTTCAAGTCTTGAACATGTACTCACTGGAGCGGAGGAGAGATACATGATAATATATATCTGGAAAGTACTCGAGGGCCTGATCCCAAATCTGCACACTGCCATAACAACATACTGGAGTGAGAGAGATGGGAGGAAGTGCAGAATAAACCCAGTGAGGAGCAGGGGTGCGGTGGGGACAATAAGTGAACACTGTATCAACATCCGGGGTCCCAGACTAGTCAACATCATACAAGAAGATATCAGAAACACGGCTGTAACAAGTGTAGAAGCCTTCAAGAGGAAACTGGACAAGTATCTTCACCAGGTGCCAGATCAACCAGGCTGTAATGGATATGTGGGGCAGCGGGCCTCCAGCAGCAACAACCTGGTTGACCAGGCAAGCACCAGACGAGCCTGGCCCATGGCCGGGCTCGGAGAGTAGAGAAACTCTCGAAACTCTTCAAAGGTACTCTTCAAAGGGGCTGTTAGTGTATAGCAGTATTCCAACCTAGAGAGAACAAGTGACTTAAAGAGGATCATCATTGGTGTGGCATCCCTTGTTTTGAAAGTTCTCATTATCAATCCTATCATTATCCTAGCAGATGTGATAGTGATACTGTTGTAATCCTTAGTTTTTCGCTCTATTGTGTATGTAGAATTTGTTGTGTGCTCCGTCCTAGCTATTATTTCTTAATGTTTTCCACAATGGGGTAACTGAATTTGTCATCACTGAACATAGTTGTTTTCCGTGACCTATTGTACAAGAATGGTATACAATACCGACAAGATGAAATTAAGACACATGTGCAACATCTGGGTATCTTTATTGTAGACGTTTCGCCATCCAGTGGCTTTATCAATACAAATTCCGGGACATAACTTGAAGACAGTAGAACTATATACAAAAGACGAGGTAATCAGTCCCTCAACCTTGGAGTTGGTGCGAAGAGCACCATAGTCGTGGAGATTCTGAAGCAGAAGCAAGGAGCCTGGCGCTTATATATAACGTCAGGTGGAAAGGGACGTGTAGCAGATGAGGGCATAGTCACTGGTAAGCGGGATTCCCCAGTAGAAGTAGGTCCTAACCAAAGAGATGGGTTAGCAGTAGTAGTAGTTGTGGTAGTCGTGAAGGTTATGTACATGTCCTCAGAATCAAGATTCCATGATGTTGCAGTGTCTGACAAGTTGTACAAGAATGGTATACAATACCGTCTTCTGTATATAGTTCTACTCTCTTCAAGTTATGTCCTGGAATTTGTATTGATAAAGCCACTGGATGGCGAAACGTCTATAATAAAGATACCCAGATGTTGCACGTGTCTTAATTTCCGTGACCTATTGGAAAACTTGGTTTATGTCCGCTTGGAGATTTGCCGTGTCCTCAATGGATAACACACTTATGCAGATTCTAGCATCGACTTTAAAATGAGACATGATGCTATGGTTTGCATCTCATCTCAGCCTGGTATGAAGATGGTGAAAGGGGTGGGAGCGAGTACTGTGCCTTGTGGAGCAGAAATATGAATATATTATATATATATATATATATATATATATAATTATATATATATATATATATATATTATTAATCATACTACATCACACAACACACAAACACACACCACACACACACACACACACTCCTATCTACATCACTCCTATCTGAATGTTGTAGTTACTTAAAATTACTCAAATTTACAACATAAAATTACCTTCTTTTCCAGGGACTGACAATTGACTTAATTTCCAGGATTCAGACATTGTTACAACCTAAACATGCACCAATGTAGTCGGCAAGAATGTCATTAGTCGGTGGTGGTGGTTAGTGGCACTGTGAGTAGTGCCAGTGGTCGGTAATAGTGTTGGCTGGCATGGAAAATTGGGTGCTGGGATAGTGTCATGTGGGTAGTGGCACTGGTGTGAGTAGTGGCAGCGGTCAGTGTTAGCGGTGTCCTGGCATGGATCTGGCGTGATGGTTAGTGCCCCTCGCGACACTGCTGCTGTCAAGAGCCCCGCCATGGCTGGGGGGTTCCCCCGCAGCTGCTCTTGGTCCGTCACCCCCGCCACCCCGCCCGTCGCCGCCCTCTCCCCCCCAGACAACCCACTCCCCCTCAACGACGGTGCACATCGCAGTAGATGTTACGACGACCACTTGAGAAAGCGTGCTAGCTTGTCCATGGTGGTGGGTGGGTTGTGGAGCCCTACACGCCCCAACCACCACAACCCACGCCCTGACCGCGCCGCACGGCGCTCCTTGGGCGCAGTGTGGCGTGTATCCTCGTCTAGTCCTGCGCGCCAGCTAGGAGCATGGCTAGGCCGCAGACCTCGGTCCTTCGCTGGCACAGAGGACAACGTGAGTGCCATGTTTAGCAGTGGGCATACCCTGGCACCACCCACGTCACCAGTGCCCTCGCTCTGCTCCTCCTCCCCTGAGCCACCCTCACCCCTGGAGTCGTCAGGGGCACGTAAGGTGAGCGGTGGCTCTATCGGGACGGCACTCTGCCTCAGCAGCAGTCCCTCGGCTGCCTCCCTCTCCACCCTCAACAAGACTGCCGCTCCTCGTCGCCCCACACGCCTTGTCATCAGTGGGCGGGCACGGCCACGCCGCCTCTACCACACTCCCTGTGTCTCTAGGTACCACCACTTCCCAACTACTATTATATAGTTACCAAATTTGTTTACAATATGAAAGTATCAGTATGGTACCAGTATTTACTAGTGTCAGGTATCAGTATGGTACTAGCACCTACTAGTGTCAGATAAATCATGATTTTGTTACTTAGGGTTCATAAGTTCTGTTTCACTTTCCCCAGAGAGTAACGAGCTGAGCTTCGTGTAACAGTGTGACTAACAGGGATCTATTACAACGTTTCAGGCTGTGTAACGTGACGGTGACGCGGCTGCAGGTAACGCAGCCTCTGGGCGGAGACCTCAACTCCGTCACGCTGGCGGTCAAGATGCAATCGTCGAAGCGAACACTCCGCTCGAACGAGATCCCTCTCCCTCCCAGCGGCACTCTCGATATAGAGCTCCAGCTCACCTTCTCCCTACAGGTAAGCTTGGCACTTTCTCTAACTCTCGTCTGTGACACTATCACCCCGTTCGTCTGTGTCACTGTGGCAACAACACGTCTCTCACCTGTCTACTCCTAATTCTTCTTGGAAGCCTCCTGACCATTAACTCTCCCTTATATCAAGGAAACCTGGCCCCAGGCAAGGCTTGGAGAATTCTCAAAGCTATTGGCAGGTATATCACTGGTATGATTTGTAATGGTCCAGTATTCTGACAGATTTGTTTTATTATGCTGTGTGTGTGTGTGTGTGTGTGTGTGTGTGTGTGTGTGTGTGTGTGTGTTGTGTGTGTGTTGTGTGTGTGTGTGTGTGTGTGTGTGTGTGTGTGTGTGTGTGTGTGTGTTGTGTGTGTGTGTTTGTGTGTGTGTGTGTGTGTTACAGCACTTAGCAGTGACATCCTCATTCTGTATAGTAATGTCTTTATGCACTATATAGTTATTCTTCACTATATTGCAACTCTTTCCACTGTACAGTGACTCCCACTATACTATATTAAGTTTTTTTACCTGAATAATATAGTACCCCAAATTATTTTGATTAGTACATTCGTGTATCTTGTATTGCAGTATCATTCATGTATGTTGTATACTGCATTACAGTATGATTCATGTATATTATTTACTGATGAGTAAGACACGTGCAGCATTTGGGTATCTTTATTGTTGAAACGTTTGGCCTATGTAGTAGGTTCTTCAGTCACATACAGAGACAGATATAGCAGTAAAATGTGAGAAATAAGACTGATGTGGTCGCCCCTCAGCCTGGGAAGGTTCAGTTTTTTTTGGTCTGGAACGATATGAGGCTGAAGCATGAGAATGGAGTATTAAATACTATCGAAAGTGACGTGGAAGCTCTTGAAGACAATTGGAAGGGACGGGATTCACTACTACACCTGCATCCTCTGTATTTGACTGAAGACGCCTACTGTGTAGGTCAAACGTTTCAACAACATATCCAACTGTCGCACGTGTCCAACTCATCAACTCGTTCGGTGTTGTGTACTGTTGTGTACATGTTGTGTACTGTACTGCAGACAAATGATCCTTATCCTTCCACAGTACCCACACTTCCTGAAGCGAGAAGGTAACACACTGCAAATTATGCTCCAGCGACGCAAAAAGTACAAAAACCGTACCTTTCTTGGCTTCAAAACTCTTGCTGTCGGGGTCGTCAACATGTCACAGGTGAGAGAAGCTGTCAGGGTTATCAATATGTCACAGGGAAGAGAAGCTGTCAGGGTTATCAATATGTCACAGGGAAGAGAAGCTGTCAGGGTTATCGATATGTCACAGGGAAGAGAAGCTGTCAGGGTTATCAATATGTCACAGGGAAGAGAAGCTGTCAGGGTTGTCAGCATGTCATGGTGCCCCTGGCCTGGTGGCTAAAGCTCTCGCTTCACACGATGAGGGTCCGGGTCCAATTCCCGGCAAGGGTAGAAACATTGGGCGTCTTTCCATACACCGGTTGTGTATGTTCCCCACCAGTAAAATGGGTACCTGGGTGTTAGTCGACTGGTGTGGGTCACATTCCGGGACAAAATTGACCTAATGTGCCCGAAATGCTCTGCATAACAAGCAGCTTTCTATATAGTAGTGTCATTGATGTCAGCTAGTCCTGTATACCTTGTATACAGGGTCGTCAACATGTCACAAGTGAGAGAAGTCAGTCAGAGGATGGGAGGGTATTAAATAAAAATATGAATTCCAAATTGGGTAGCATAATGTAAAAATAAGAGATTTAAAAACGAGAATGAAAGAGACAGATGAAAATGGAATAATAAGGGGGTCAGGGGAAAACAGATGGATAAAAGATTAGATAAGGATAAGGGATTGGAATTAAGGGAGGTAACAAAAGAAATATGTATGGATTTAGTGTAAAATGTGTTCTAGGACAAGAAGAAAAAATGATTAAAAGAACCTAAATGTTTTTGGTTAAGAGTAAAGGGAAAGAGGAATGTGTGCAGTGAATATGTAATGAAAACTGGAGATAGTGGTTGACAAGGAATAGGTAAGAGAAGATGTAATCCTGAAAATATTGACAAAGAATTGCATGAAATTATTGGATTAAATGAAAGGAATGTGAGAAAAGTAAAGAGGAGAGGTTACAAAATAGAAGGAAGGTAAGCAAATTATAAAAGAGAGGGTAGGAAAAAAAGATGTTCTGGAAGCAAACGAATGATAATTCAGACACTTATTCAGTGCAGTCTGGCAAGTACATTCGTGAGATTAAGATAAAATGTTGTTCGAATTTTTAACCCTGGAGGGTTAGCCACCCAGGATAACCCAAGAAGGGCAGTGCATCATTGACGGACTGTCTGTCTTATTTCCATTGGGGGTCCACAATCTTGTCCCCCAGGATGCAACCCACACCAGTTGACTAATACTCAATTACCTACTTGCAAGGCGAACAGGACAGCGGGTGTAAGGAAACGTGTCAAAATGTTTCCACCCCGCTGGAAATCAAACCTGGGCCTGCCACGTGTGAAGCGAGAGTTTTGCCAGCCACGCCATGGGGCCCTGTTTATATTACTAAGAAAGATTTTTGACTTCACAGTAGGCTGTTCAGTGATTCCTCGATGCTTCTTTGATATGCACATTGCACAAGGAAACATTAATACAGTCCTAAAAATTTTATTGGAGCCCAGTAAGTTTTTCCATATCATAGGACTAAATATTGTACTGATTATAATGATGAGCATTTCATATTTCTTTTAAATATTTGTTTATGGTTTTGTCTAAACGTTCACTTCATAAATTTGTGGAAAATTTTTAAATTGCACAGTGTCCTTCATGGATGCCACTCGAGCATATTCTTGTATGATATGTGAAGGTTTATACAGTGCTAGGATTTATGTCCCTGTCTATGGTGGGATGATTCTATGCTAGAATTTATGTCCCTATCTATGAAAGAGATAAGGATGAGGAAAAAAATTGGAGGGGGGGGGGAAGGTAGAGCTCTGTGCCTTAGGGAACAGAGCTTTTCATTGTGGCAGGCTCTGACTTAATTGTGGCCTGTTCACAAACCTCTCAACACCTTCAAGATCAGTGACCTCTTCAGTGTACAGTGGAACCCCGGATATCGGCCAATGCGGATATCATCCAAATCGGATTTCGGCCGCTTTTTTGGCAGAAATTGTCCTGCCTGCCACTCCGCTGCTGCTTTCGTGAGTCAGTCTGGCTGTGTCTCTGGGTGAGTGAGCAACGTTCCACGCATTCATCCAAACAGTTCGTTATAATCCATTTTTTTTGTGGTTGTTTATTGAGTGCAACTGTGAAATAAGCCACCATGGACCCAAAGAAAGTTCCTAGTGCCAGCCCTTTGGTAAAGAAAGTGAGAAACATGATAGAATTCAGTGACAAAACCTTATCCCACTTCAGGCAAATCTTAGAGATGCCAGAAACAGACCTCTCTGGACAGTTTTTTTTGTGCAACAGGGGTACAGTGACTCTCAAGCTGGTCCTAGAGGCAGTAAAAGACAATGAAGGGAAGTAACCCTGGATAGGGACTTGATACCTGAAGTCCTTGTGGAAGGGGACTTTCCTTCCAAACAGTAACCCCCCAACTCCCACTTGCTTCCTTGCTTTCTTCAATACGCCAATAAGATTCTTCAATAAAGGTATGTAATGTTCATTTATCATTAAAATTTGTGCTTTATATTTAATTCTCACTACTTTCTGTATGTAAAACTATAGTTAATCTTTAAAAAATGTATTTTTTTTTAAATATTTTTGAGTGTCTGGAAAGGATTAATTGTATTTACATTAATTCTTATGGGAAATATTTCTTTGGTTTTCGGCCTTTTCCGATTCAGGCCAACCTTTTGGAACGGATTATGGTCGAAATCCTGGGTTCCACTATTACTTTTGACAGAATGATGACTTTAAAAAACTTGTTTGGCTTTATTTTTTAGCTGTCAAAGATCTGACCTTATTTTTCCCATATGGTATTCAGATTACATATCACAGAATTACACCAGCATTGATTTTAGGTATGTACCTCGTGCAATATGTAAGAATTCAGTGTACTGCAAGTAAGGTTACTGATAAATTTGAATTATTAATTTTCTTTCTGAAAATATTTCTATTACTTTTTGTGGAGACAAGAGTAGTATACAGTGAACCCCCGCTGTTTGGCAGCCGCGACTTTCGTGAAATCCGACTTTCGGCAAGTTTTTTCGGCAAAATTTAGCTTCATGGTTCGTGATTGGACTCGTGATTTGGCGACCTTCTGGTATGCGTCTGCCAGTCAGCGCACACACAAAGCCAGTCTCCCTCGCTATTCACACTCAGTGTGCCATTGTTTACCAGCATGTGACCATCACCCCATGGGTTCATACAACACTTTTCATAATAATTCATTGTTTTTGTGCTTGCAACTGCTAAATAAGCCACCATGGGCCCAAAGAAAGCTCCTAGTGCCAGCCCTTTGGTAAAGAAGGTGAGAAACACGATAGAATTCAAGAAAAAACTCATCGCAAAGTATTAAAGTAGAGGAGGAAGAGAGAGGGGAGAATGTGCCTTCTGCAGTGATTCTACAATATGTATGATACTAAAGCAGCAGGTATCGATAAAGGCTATAGCTCCAGCCAGCGATAAAATGTAGAATTAACAGTGTAGCAAGTAAGTTAAGCGAGTAAGCGATAGAAAAACAACATGAGAGTAACTCTCCAATGTTGTTGGATGTGTATAGGACTGCTGAACATACACCGCCCTGCTATCTTCCACCACCCTAAACCTCTGCCAACATCTTCATCAAACTAACTAATTAAACCAACATCTCCTCCAAGGTAAGTGTAACTATAAAAGTGTAAGTATAAAAGTAAATATAAGCATAAATATAAAAAGACACCAATGGAAATATGTCACTCTTGAATTTTTTGGGTTATCCTGGGTACTTGACACATATGCTATGTATGATAATCTATGTATGTAACTATTTGTGTATACCTGAATAAACTTATTTATAAATTAAAATGTAAATATTTCTTATTTATAAATTAAAATGTAAATATTTCTTATTTATAAATTACATACATTGTTTAAGTGTGATGGTGGTGGTGGCCAAAGCCTCCACCACCACCAACACGGCTTCTCTCAGTGGCGGCCCTTAAACCCAACAACAATACTTAAACCATTTACTCCTCTCATACATTATGACATATTTTATTCATTCTAGAGTATATATCATGTTTCTATGTTATTAATATTGTTTATATTGTCACATTAGATGAATTGTGATAGATAAATAAGCCATAGAGATGATGATATTAGCGTCATATTGAAGCATAATAAACTCCTTCCTCTTGCCTGCTACCTACCTCCTACACCAACAAGAATCAATAAAGGTTAAGTGTGATGTTAAATGTTCATTTATCCATTTTATTAGTGCTTTATATTTATTTGTCATTGTTTTCTGTATGTAAATATATATTTAATCTTTAAAATAATTATTTTTTGTTAATACTTTTGGCTGTCTGAAACGGATTAATTGGGTTTCCATTATTTCTTATGGGGAAAATAGATTCGCCAATCGTGAATTTTGCCAGTCGGCAGACTCTCTGGAACGGATTAATCACGAAACTCAGGGGTCCATTGTATTCTTAAAGTACAGTGATACCTCTCGTATCTGAACTATATGGGCCGAGATCGGTTTGGAAACACGGAGTTTCTTGATTCGTGAGGGGGAAAAAATGCGCATCCGTACTGTCATATCGCCATCCATACCCCATCATATCGCCATCAGCGACGGCATTGTAGGTTTAAAAAACAAGTCCAACATTGTTTGGTAGTGGGACCAGACACTCTGGGCTTGAATAACAGCTTCCCAGATCTCACAGACCACAGGACCATAACTTTTCAAATGGGCTGTGAACAGTGGATACTCCAAAAGTGTTTCGGCACCTGCCCTTGCTGTTGAAGTTTTGGTCTTGGAGGCATTGGGTCATCATTGTCGTCATCACTTTTGGAATGTTTCAGGTGCAACACTGATTCTGCAGTCTCTGCATTCATCAGAGATTGCACACTAAGGTCGTCTTCATCATACTCTAGCCAGTCCTGCAGGTTGGTGCCATGAACCATCATACCACTACCACGTTGTTGTAGGTACCACTTCATCACTCACTGATCGAGTTCCAAGCTCTGTGGGTTCGCCATCACTTTTCTTTCAGCACTTTTTCCAGTTTTTGAGAAGCAGAAAACTCACTTGTGTAGGCCATAATCTTATCACAAGCCCTCTTGATATCACAGAGGGTGACGAAGAGCACCGCTCCTAGTGGCAAACCAGTACACTAATGTGCGTGCCAAGTTTGATTCATCCTGCTGTACCCGAACGGCTGTTTGGATGTTTCGGTAATAATTTTAGAAGTTTGCCCTTTCCCTGGACCTGTTCGGATGTTGGCGAGGTTCAGATAATGGCAGGCTGGATATGTAAGGTGTCACTGTATGTACCATAGTATTTTATTTCTTAAGGAGTACAAGAGGCACTGTCAAGAAATTTTAATGAAAATAAGAAAAAATTTTGAAGTGAGTTAAACAAGTTAAGAAAGCCTAGGGAAAGTATGGATTTGTCAGTTAAAAACAGAGTAGGGGAGTTAGTAGATGGGGAGATGGAGGTATTAGGTAGATGGCGAGAATATTTTGAGGGACTTTTAAATGTTAAGGAAGAAAGAGAGGCAGTAATTTCATGCACTGGTCAGGGAGGTACACCATCTTTTAGGAGTGAAGAAGAGCAGAATGTAAGCGTGGGGGAGGTACGTGAGGCATTACGTAGAATGAAAGGGGGTAAAGCAGCTGGAACTGATGGGATCATGACAGAAATGTTAAAAGCAGGGGGGATATAGTTTTGGAGTAGTTGGTACTTTTGTTTAATAAATGTATGAAAGAGGGGAAGGTACCTAGGGATTGGCGGAGAGCATGTATAGTCCTTTTATATAAAGGGAAAGGGGACAAAAGAGACTAAAAATTATAGAGGAATAAGTTTACTGAGTATACCAGGAAAAGTGTACGGTAGGGTTATAATTGAAAGAATTAGAGGTAAGACAGAATGTAGGATTGCGGATGAGCAAGGAGGTTTCAGAGTGGGTAGGGGATGTGTAGATCAAGTGTTTACATTGAAGCATATATGTGAACAGTATTTAGATAAAGGTAGGGAAAGTTTTTATTGCATTTATGGATTTAGAAAAGGCATATGATAGAGTGGATAGAGGAGCAATGTGGCAGATGTTGCAAGTATATGGAATAGGTGGTAAGTTATTAAATGCTGTAAAGAGTTTTTATGAGGATAGTGAGACTCAGGTTTAGGGTTGTAGAAGGAGGGGAGACTACTTCCCGGTAAAGTTAGGTCTTAGACAGGGATGTGTAATGTCACCATGGTTGTTTAATATATTTAGATGGGGTTGTAAAGGAAGTAAATGCTAGGGTGTTCGGGAGAGGGGTGGGATTAAATTTTGGGGAATCAAATTCAAAATGGGAATTGACACAGTTACTTTTTGCTGATGATACTGTGCTTAGGGGGAGATTCTAAAGAAAAATTGCAAAGGTTAGTGGATGAGTTTGGGAATGTGTTGTAAAGGTAGAAAGTTGAAAGTGAACATGGGAAAAGAGTAAGGTGATGAGGGTATCAAATGATTTAGATAAAGAAAAATTGGATATCAAATTGGGGAGGAGGAGTATGGAAGAAGTGAATGTTTTCAGATACTTGGGAGTTGACGTGTCGGCGGATGGATTTATGAAGGATGAGGTTAATCATAGAATTGATGAGGGAAAAAAGATGAGTGGTTCGTGAGGAAATATGTGGAGTCAAAAAACGTTATCTATGGAGGCAAAGAAGGGAATGTATGAAAGTATAGTAGTACCAACACTCTTATATGGGTGTGAAGCTTGGGTTGTAAATGCAGCAGCGAGGAGACGGTTGGAGGCAGTGGAGATGTCCTGTTTAAGGGCAATGTGTGGTGTAAATATTATGCAGAAAATTCGGAGTGTGGAAATTAGGAAAAGGTGTGCAGTTAATAAAAGTATTAGTCAGAGGGCAGAAGGGGGGTTTGTTGAGGTGGTTTGGTCATTTAGAGAGAATGGATCAAAGTTAGAATGACATGGAAAGCATATAAATCTATAGGGGAAGGAAGGCGGAGTAGGGGTCGTCCTCGAAAGGGTTGGAGAGAGGGGGTAAAGGAGGTTTTGTGGGCAAGGGGCTTGGACTTCCAGCAAGTGTGCGTAAGCGTGTTAGATAGGAGTGAATGGAGACGAATGGTACTTGGGACCTGACAATCTGTTGGAGTGTGAGCAGGGTAATATTTAGTGAAGGGATTCATGGAAACCGGTTATTTTCATATAGTCGGACTTGAGTCCTGGAAATGGGAAGTACAATGCCTGCACTTTAAAGGAGGGGCTTGGGATATTGGCAGTTTGGAGGGATATGTTGTGTATCTTTATATGTGTATGCTTCTAAACTGTTGTATTCTGAGCACCTCTGCAAAAACAGTGATAATGTGTGAGTGTGGTGAAAGTGTTGAATGATGAAAGTATTTTCTTTTTGGGGATTTTCTTTCTTTTTTGGGTCACCCTGCCTCGGTGGGAGATGGCCGACTTGTTGAAAAAAAAAATTAAATTGGTATAATGAATTACATTTAGACAGGTATCTTAATGGGTAAAATTCTTATCACTCATGCCTTGTCATATGAAGAACAATAGTGATGGGATGATACCAAAATTTTTGTCAGTACCAATGGTTGATTTTAGACTGACACTAATATCAAAATTAGTAGCTATTCACTGATTCCAATAATTTGGCATACCCCTAAAGATTCATTAAAATGTGGCACCAGAGCTCGACAAATTTTAACTGATATGGAGAAAAGGCTCTAATTCAGTTGATTAATTTCTCATAAAAGAACTTATTCAACGTCTGAGTTCTCAGGCTTTTAAGATTTCAGTAATTGTAGAAGCTTGTAGCAGTATGAGAAAATATTCAATTTGAAGTTTTATGGAGTAGCATAAGAACTGTTTTTGTTTCCAGTGAAAGTGACTCGTACAAAATTTTTTTTAATTTTTAATAGTTCTTATGAATTATAAAAAAATAAAAACCAAAACAAAATAAAACAAGAAGATGGACAGAGGGATTGAACCATGGTACTGGGATTAGCAGGTCCAGCACTTTACCAGTGAGCTATGAAGCTTTTGCTTCAAGAATTAACAGTATCAACAGAGTTCAAATTAATCTTTTACTCTTTCATACACAACAGGTTTTGCAACGTCCCGTAGATCGGGAACTAGAACTATACAGTGAAGGGAAAGAGAAGGGAACATCTCTAGCACGAGTCACGATGGTCTCCCTCTCCTCCCAACCAGTTGACACGGATGAGCCAACAGAGAGAACAAAGTCTTTCATGGCTGATAATCCAGGTAAGTCGATTTTTTTTTAAATTTATTATTTCTGTTACTTTTGTTTTTCTTTTGGGGCCACCCTGCTTCAGTGGGATACGGCTGGTGCAGTGAAGGAAGAAAGATTTCTGTTACTGATACATTCAGGTAGTGAGAACATGTTGTATTTCAGTGATGATCCAGCCTCTCCTCATTAACGACGGAGTTCTGTTCCTAAGACCACGTCATTAAACGAATTCGTCGCTAAGTGAGGAGCATACTATAATCGTAGTGAGTTTGCGTCATCCATCTTTGATATTGTTTTAATGTCACCTTTGCACTATTTATAACATTTCTAGTATATTTTTAAATGTTTATTCAGTAGTGTACTGTATATTGAAATAAACAGAATAAAGGAAATCAGCTCGAATATACATTATTTAGGTATGAATACTGATCGAGAGCCCGTCGTAAGTCCGAGGCATCAGTAAACAAGTACATTGCTAAGTGAGGAGAGGCTGTATTTTATGTTTTGTAAAGAATTTTTAACATATTTTCCAAACTGTTTTGCAACATTGCAGACTGTTAGTAGTACCATACTGTATTTATCAAACTACATATTTATTAACACAACATTTTCTGTAGTTAATAACTAGTGTGTGTAAAATTTAAGTAAATTTAGAGATAATTTAAGACATAAATAGTTTCAAGCCATGACTGTCACACCAGTAATTTTAAATGAAGGCGAGACTATTATACATACTGTATGGAGCATCAGAATGCTTAAGAGCCAATTTCAGGACTAGTGGTAATTGCAGTTGTTAAGGTGGAATTTTTCTATTAACCCTTTCAGGGTCCGTGCCGTAGATCTGCGGCTTTACGTTGAGGGTCCAAACCGTAGATCTATGCCATGAGCTCAGCTCACTCTGATAAGCTGTGAGTGGTAAATTTGGGCCTAGATATGAGAGAATACATCTATGTGGTATGTGTGCACCACATAAAACAAATCCTGCAACACACAGTGCATAATGAGAGAAAGAAAACTGAGACCGTAATTTTCTATTAAAACAGCAATTTTCAATGTTTTTTTATATGTTTTTTACAGTTGTATTTGCAATTTCTTGGTCTCATTTGATAGAATGGAAGATGTATTACAGAAATAGAGATGATTTTGATTGGTTTTAGTGCTGAAAATGGCTTGAAACTAAGCTCAAAGTAGTGGAAATGTTAAATTTTTGCCAATGTTCAAGAGTAAACAAATAACTTCACGTGTCTAATACACGCCAGCTGGTGGGTCTAATATACGTTCACAAATGTGCTGATATTATTTATACAATTATTACAATATTGCATGACAGTAAATCTTCTATTTTTTGGTTTGAATAAAAATTCATTATGTGGATTAAAAATCAAAATGGAATTCATTTGTAAATCCTGAAAACATAACTAATGAACAGAGAAAATGTTAGTTTAGTGCCAGGAATGCCTGCATTGTTTATTCTGGACCCTATTTTGAAATTGGAATATTGTTAACTTTGCACTAAATTGGCCAAATTACCAATTTCCAATCACTTTATTTTGTAGTTGAAACAGTTGAGTTGGCAATTTTTTGTGCTCAATCGATAGAATAGAAGTAATACCAGTGAAATAGCTAAGAATTTCGTCAACTGGAATAAGGTAATTGGCCTAAAATGGGAGTCAAAGTCGGCAAAATCGCCAATGCGTAAGTACCGCTGACACATCAAAATTCGCGAGAGCATAATTTCGTCAGTTTTCCATCAAATTTCATACTTTTTGTTTTATTACCTTCAGAAAAAGATTCTCTACCATATCATAAAAATAAAATTATTTTTTTAAAATTCTTGGACACTGGTGCGCACTTTGAAATTTGGCTGCTGGACCCTGAAAGGGTTAAGAAATTAATTTTAAATCTTTTGAGTTCGATGCAAGTTGTTGACTAGATTCAAAGCTTATAATGACGTTCAACAATGACAATGTGATTTTGAAAAAAAATGCTCTGTAGATCATGAGGCAGTTGCAAAATATATTGATTAGTTTGCAGACTTAAATTGTCCTAGTGCTCAAAACCCAATAGCTAAACAGATTTATAGTGCAGAAAAATTGCTTTGTGTTGTTTCTTGGAAATTGCTACTGTAGTTTCATCTGATGAGACTGCATCAAAGGCTGTTAAGACTATGGAAATGCCTAGGCTATGATGGCTTTGTGGGCCAGCTGGCAGACAACAGCAACAGCTTGGTTAACCATGCAAGCACCAGACAAGCCTGGCTCAGGGCTGGGCTCCAAGAGTAAAAAAAACTCTTGAAACTCATCAAAGGTATACTAGAGATGTGTTATTGGACAACTTCTCCACTCACTCACATGCTAAACTTTTCATCAAGCAGTATAATGTTTACAGTGTATGTTTACATCTCAAATTGTACATCACTTAATACAACTAATGGGCAAAAGAATTTTAAGCTCAGTAAATAAAAATACAGTGGAACCTCTACTTACGAGTGCATCCATGTGCGAGTTTTTCCAGATAAGAGCAGCTGCTCGGTCGATTTTTTGCTTCCAGACGCAAGCAAAATTTCCAGATGCGAGCAGGCCTCAAGAGAGGTTAATTGACTGGTGAGGGGGCTCTTGCTCTTGATCTAGGGAATTGGATCTAAGTTGTTTGTTGGACTATCTTATTGAAACTTGGGCAATGTATGATGAAAAGATACTTCTTAACGTACATCAAAAATGAAAGAAATCGGACTATAAATAACAAGTTCACTTCTCAGCCATTAGCCTCCCCTTACCGGTATATTTTCATTCAATTCAAATTCAAATTCAAAGTTTATTCTCTATAAGGATTACAATGCTGAGTTTACAGAAATTTGGTTATTGTGTGGTTTACATGTAGTAAAATAGTGATTACATAGTGTACCACTAGAACGCTTAGCATGGCTAGGCATTTCGGGCAGACTTAGTTTTATTCTTAATTGTAAAATGTTACAAATTATGAGGTAAGTTGGTATTATGGCTAAGTGACTAAATACTAGTTTGTGAGTTTAGCAATGTAAATGCTTTTGTTTTGGCACAGTACATAGTTTCAGTATTGGAGTATCACAGGATTCATTATTTTAATATTGAGATTAATATTTTCTGTTTATGGTCAATGAGTCAGTGAGTGTAAGTGTGAACCACCAGGTGGTATTTGTGTAGTTAGTTGACAGGGTGTATCAGGGAGATAAGATGTTTTCTAATGGTAGTTTTGAAGGTGATGAATGTGTCTGCAGTTCTAGAGTTCTCAGGTAGGGTATTCCAGATTTTAGGGCCTTTGACATACATTGAATTTTTGTAAAGGTTTAGTCGGACACGGGGAATGTCGTAGAGATGTTTGTGTCTGGTGTTATGCCTGTGGGTTCTGTCACAACTATCAAGAAAGATTTTAGGTCAAGGTTGATATTAGAGTTTAAGGCCCTGTAGATGTAGATTGCACAGTAGTAAGTGTGGATGTACTGAACAGGGAGTAAGTTTAGGTCTATGAAGAGTGGGGGGGTGTGTTGCCAGGGATGGGATTTAGTGATTATTCTTACTGCAGCTTTTTGTTGGGTTATTATTGGCTTTAGGTATGTTGCTGCAGTTGATCCCCAAGCACAAATAGCATAGGTGAGGTATGGATAAATAAGTGAGTGGTATAGTGTGAGAAGGGCATTTTGCGGCACGTAGTATCGTATCTTGGAGAGGATCCCAACCGTTTTGGATACTTTTTTGGTTATATGCTGGATATGGGTGCTGAAATTCAGGTTGTTGTCAAGGTATAAGCCTAGGAATTTGCCCCATTATTTCTGGTAATTAGAGTGTTGTCAATCTTAATGTTAATTTGTGCATCTCCTGCTCTGCTACCAAACATAATATAGTAGGTTTTGTCAGTGTTAAGCGTAAGTTTATTGGCTGTAATCCAAGTCGATATTTTGATCAGCTCCTCATTCACAGTGGTGTTGAGGGTGGCAAGATTAGGGTGAGAGATGACATAAGTCGTGTCGTCAGCAAAGAGAATGGGTTCCAGGTGTTGGGATACGTTTAGAAGGTCATTGATGTATATGAGGAAGAGCAGGGGACCAAGGACACTTCCCTGCGGAACTCCAGTATCAAGTGGCCGTGTTGCTGATGCTGTGTCTTTAATGGTGACATACTGATACCTATTAGTAATGTAAGATTTGAAATAAGCAAGCGCATGGCCTCTTATACCGTAATGATCAAGTTTGTGGAGTAGGATGTCGTGGTCTACTGTGTCAAAAGCTTTTCTTAGGTCAATAAAAATTCCTAGTGGATATTCCTTATTTTCCAATGCTGTGTAAAGCAGATCTAGCATTTTTATGATTGCATCATTAGTGCTTTTATTTTTCCTGAATCCAAATTGGCAGGGGTTGAGTATGTTTTGAGCCGTTATAATGAATACAGTCTCCTGTGCACGAGTTTCTCAAAGATTTTGGATAGCATGGTAAGTTAGATATTGGCCTATAGTTGTTTAAGTCTGTAGGGTCACCACCTTTATGTATTGGTGTAACCCTTGCCATCTTGAGTAGTTTCGGGAAGGTGCTAGTCTCTAGTGACTTGTTAAAGAGTAATGAAATAGCATGCGAAAGGACATGGGCCGCTCGCTTGTACAGTAATGGTGGGACATGAGACAGATTCCCCGAGTTATTTTTAAGTGACTTTATAATCTCGGTGACTTCCGTGGGCTCAGTTGGTGCAAGATAGAAGGAATTAGGGAAATTCCCATCTAGGTAGTCCTCGGCATGGGCATTGGTATGTGGGATTTTACTGGCGAGATTAGATCCTATGGTTGAGAAGAAGTCGTTTATCTTGTTAGCTGTGTCAGTGGGATGTAGTGGTGTTTCATTAGGTTTAGTTAGGACAATATTCTTGGTTTTTCTCAGTTTCTGGGTCCCTAGAATCTGAGAGAGTGTTTTCCAGGTCTTTTTTTATATCTCCTCTAGTGTCTGGTGAATCTTTTTTTACTGGAGTAGAATGGAGTAGTATAATGTTAT